ATTGTATCGGCTTGACCTTTTATAAGTGGAGATAGAATAAAGCGGCCATAAAAAAGGCGTTTACTGTCTATTCTTGATTCAACACATTTCCACTGTAGTGTCCGAGTAGATACTGCTACTTTCTCTCGAACCATAAAAATTTTGATTTAGTATATTAGTGAATCTTCTATTTCTCTTGATATAGGTTCACTTTTGATTTCTACACACGTCGTTTTTTGGGGGGTCTACAGCCATTGTGTGGCATAGGGGTTACATCCCTTATAAAAGTTAATAATATACCGCTTCTATGAATAGCTCGTAATACTGCATCTCTTCCGAGACCGGGACCTTTTATAAATACTTCGGCTCGTAGCATACCTCGATTCACTACTTTACGAAGAGCATTTATTACCGCGGTTTGAGCAGCGAAAGGTGTTCCTCTTCTGGTTCCTTTGAATCCAGAAGTACCGGCAGAGGACCAAGAAACTACCCGTCCCTGTACATCTGTAACAGTCACTATGGTATTATGGAAACTGGCTTGAACATGAATTACTCCTTTTGGTATTCTACGTGCATTCTGACGTGAACCAATACGTCCCCCCTTCCTACGCGAACTAATTCTCGATATATATTTTACCATTAAGCATTTTGTAAATCTGAGTCAGCGATATACTATATGGATATATCCATTTCACGATTCTTTCATTTCTATAATTGGTTTAGTTACTAAGTTAAGTTGCGAAGTCTTATTATCCCTGTCGTTGTTTATGTCTGGGATTGGAACAAATTACTATAAGTCGTCCCCTTCTCCGTATTAATCGACATCTGTCACAAATTTTACGAACAGAAGCTCTTATTTTCATATTCAGACTCCTTACATTTCTTTTAAATTTACTTTAGAGTTTCGGTTTGATTGGAAGATTATAATAAAAACATTCATTTTTTTTTTTATTTTCAATTTCTAATTTTGTTATTTTTGCCAAAGAGATAGCTAAGTTTAAAAATGACTCCTTTGAATCATTGTTGTGTTGCAAAAGCTTCATCGACTTGTTCTGAAGTTATCCGTCTAAACTAAAAATGAATTTAGCCTATTTTCACAAAAAGAACTTATAATCCAATCTTTATTACTTTATTAGTTGATTATCTAAATCAATAAAAAAGAAAACCAGAACATACTATTTGAAAAGGATTCCTTAATAAAAAAATTCTTGAAAAAAGGAAAGTGATTTTTGTTCTTTCATCCGAAGGACTTTATTCTTTATTTCAGTGACCTAGAAGCAATAAGGAATGGGGATTTCATTAGATTCTAAAATATCCCATTTGGGAATCATAGAAATGGAAAGTTTCTACCTAATTGGCATCTTGAAAATATTACCATATATAAAACAAAATCTCCCCCCCGATTCTTTGCAGTCGGGCTTCTCGGTCTGTCATTATACCACGTGAAGTAGAAAGAATTACAACCCCCATCCCGCCTAAAATTTTAGGTATTTTTTTAGACTTAGAATACATTCGTAGACCGGGTCGACTTATCCGTTTTAAATTTAGAATATTGCTAAAGGTCCTTTTTTTAGTGTTTATATGTTGCAGAGTTAAAACTAAAAAATTTTTGTTGTTTTCTCGATGATTTCTCACACTTTCAATAAAACCTTCTTTTAAAAGGAGTTTTACAATCTTTTCGTTAATATTACTGGATGGGATTCGAACTGTTCTTTTTCCATCCCTATGAGTATTCCGTATAGAAGTTATTATCTCAGCAATAGTGTCCCTACCCATGATGAACTCTAATTATGGAGCTAAAAATTTTTCTACTCTCAACGTGTTTTTTTTATTGTCTATGGATTATTGTGTTTATCTTACTTTATTTTAATCTTAAAGTTATATACGTGAGACAGATTCTACTCCATTTTTTAATTTTTTTTATAATACCTCAGGAGCTAATGAAACGATTTTAGTAAAATTTAATTGTCTTAACTCCCGGGGGATTGGACCAAAAATTCTGGTCCCTTTTGGATTTCCTTCTTTATCAATAACAACTGCGGCATTATCATCATATCGTATTATTATCCCGTTGCCACGTTTTAGTTCTTTAGAGGTACGCACGATTACGGCTCTAACTACTTCAGATCTTTGTAGAGGCATGTTAGGTACAGCTTCTTTGATAACAGCAACAATAATGTCACCAATATAAGCATATCGACGATTGCTAGCTCCTATTATTCGAATACACATCAATTTTCGAGCCCCGCTGTTATCCGCTACATTTAAAAGGGTTTGGGATTGAATCATAGCATTTTTTTTATTCTTTTCTTTCACAATGCAAAGGGCGAAGAAAAAAAGAAATATTTTTTGTCCACAAACATAAAACGAAACCTCTTTTTTTTTTGTTTTTGTTTCATTCTTAAGATTCTTTGGGTTGGTTCTAGAGTTATATCGTCTATTCTATCTCCGAAATAATGAATTGAGTTTGTATCGGCATTTTTGATGCTGCTATTGAAATAGCTTTTCTGGCAATATTTTTTGTTACTCCACCCATTTCAAAAAGTATCCGACCGGGTTTAACAACAGCAACCCAATATTCAGGGGATCCTTTTCCTGAACCCATACGTGTTTCTGCGGGTCGTACAGTAACTGGTTTATCGGGAAATATACGTACCCATATTTTTCCTCCACGACGTGCATTTCGTGTCATAGCCCGTCGCCCAGCTTCTATTTGTCTAGATGTGATCCAAGCGGGTTCAAGTGCTTGAAGCGCATATTTACCGAAACAAATATGATTCCCTCGAGAAGCTATTCCCTTCATTCTTCCTCTATGTTGTTTACGGAATCTGGTTCTTTTGGGGTTATAGTTGATGGATTTTTATTTATTCCATCTCTACTACAGAACCGGATGTGAGAGTTTCTTCTCATCCAGCTCCTCGCGAATTACGAATAAAGTATTTACAAAATGAGCGTTTGACTCAAATTGACTAATCATAGTGAAGATATCTAAATCTAAAGATAGATAATAAAAGTCTGGACTGAGAAGTCAAAATAATATTTAGGGATTGAGTGATCTTTTTTTAAATCTATTTGAATTGAAATGAATTATTCTACAGTTTTTTCATGATTCTCTGAGTCTAACTAATCCTTCATTTTTGACTATTCTTTATATTGCTTTAGATTGAATATTGATTCTTTTGAAAAAAGTTTTCGCGGGCGAATATTGACTCTGTCAATTTAGATTTCATTTCTAGGACGAGTTTGTGACATCTTATAGCTAGTATCTAGAAATAAAATAATTTAACATTGGTTTATTCCGCCATCCCAGCCAGTGAATGTTTAAGATTTTTTTTTATTTCATCTTGAATTGAATTGAATCTTTTGTATTCTCATAAGTTCCGTCGTCCCCATCACTTCTTACTTAATGGTTAGGTCCTAATTTTACAATGGAGCTCAAATAGTAATAATATATGAATAATTTAAGTCTTTAGCCATTTTTCTTAGTCTTTATTGGCTTTAAGCTCTTGACTTTATTTTTTTATTTTATCTCTTCTATATTTAATATCTAATTGAATATTTATATATAGATTATAGATTTCTATAATAAGAGTATATTGTTTTTTATTATTGAATATTCTTAGATTTCTTATTCTATTTTAAATACTTTAATATGCAGAATTTAAGTATTAATGCTTCATTACATTGCCTGTTTTGTTAGACCCTACATATTGGAATTTTCAATCATTGAGCTTCTTTTTCTCCCTTTCTCTCTCCCTTCCAATTATCCACATCTTTTTTATATTTTGCTTCGCAACTTCAATAATATTTGAATACTATTTTTCGTTTATGCAAATAAATGGCAGTTGCTACAACGATATGAGCGGTAATCATATCGTGACTGGTTATTTAGATCCAGATAATGCGAAATTGATGAGTTAATTATTAGGTAATTTCTTCTCGAGTTAGTAGTTGTTACTTTGGGTTTGGTTTCATGCTAACCTTAAAAAATAAACGAGTCGCACACTAAGCATAGCAATGATATTTTTATTAAAAATAAATAAAATTTTTATTCAACCTTATAGAATTCATTATTATCAATTAGAACTGTTCCTGCTCATTACACAAAATAATTTGTGAAATGGCCGCTCGGTATTACAGGTAAAAAGAATGAATAAAATTTTATTGAGCTTGATCAAAAAATATCCAAATTTTTATGCCTAAAACCCCGTAGATAGTTCGAACTGAATAACAACAATAATCAATTTTAGCTTGAATAGTTTGGCGGGGAATTCTTCCTTCTCTTATCCATTCCACACGTGCAATTTCCTTTCCGTCAAGGCGTCCCGCAATTTGTACTTGAATTCCTTTTGTATCTGCTTGTTCAGCTAATTCAATAGCTTTTTTCATTGCTTTTCGAAAGGAAACTCTATTCTTTAATTGTCCAGCTATAAATTCGGCAAGAATATTAGGATTTCCATACGGTTTTTCAATTTTTGTGATAGCAATATTAAGTTTTCGGTTTACGAAATTTAATTTTTTTTGTAGAGCTTTTTGTAATTCTTCAACTCCCTGCGGGCTATTTTCAATGAATACTTTGGGAAATCCAATATAGATTATGACTTGGATTAGATCGAGTCTTTTTTTAATACATATACCTGCAATTCCCTCGGTACCCGAGGGTTTGATTCTATTTTTTTGTACATAATTTTTTATAAAAGCTCTTATCTTTTGATCTTCTTGCAGATTTTCAGCATACGTTTTTGGTTGCGAAAACCAAAGTGAATAATGGGCCTGGTTTGTACCAAGTCTGAAACCAAGTGGATTTATTTTTTGTCCCATAAATACCTCCTTTTCTGGATATCAGAATATGCTTTAGTTCTAGAATTTTTTTTCGCTTGTGGTTTTTTTAGCAAACCGAGCTCCACGGATTCAGAATCATTGAATGAAATATCTTTTAGTACAATAGTGATATGGCAGGTCGGTCTTTTTATTGGATAACTACGCCCGCGAGCCCGAGGTTTTAATTTCTTTCCAGCAGTCCCCTCATTAACTTCAGCTTGACTAATAACTAAATTTGCTTTATTTGAAGCCATAGTGTAACTAGCATTTGATGCGGCTGAATAAACCAATTTTAAAATTTGATAACTGGCACGATAGGGCATGAGTTCTAATATAATAAGTGTTTCCTCATAGGAACGCCCACGAATTTGGTCAATAACTCTTCGTGCTTTATTAGCCGACATAGCTATACGTCGACCTAAAACGTATACTTCTGGGGTTTTTTTATTTAGCATCTGGTACATAAAATTTGCCTCCTACTAATGACTTATAAGCATCAAAATATTTTTTAGTATTCACATTACCGATGAGATTTCTTATCATTTTTTGCATGTCCTCGAAAATTTAAAGTAGTTGCAAATTCTCCCAATTTGTGTCCGACCATATCATCCATTATATAAATAGGGAGATGCTCTTTCCCATTATGAATGGCAATAGTATGACCAATCATTATTGGAATAATAGTAGATCCCCGGGACCAAGTTATTATTATTTCTTTTTCTCCCTTTGTGTTAAGTTTCTCAATTTTTTTTAATAATTTATGAGCTACAAAGGGATTTTTTTTTAGTGAACGTGCCACAGTTTACTCCTATAAATTTTATTATTCTTTTATTTTTTTATTTTTCATATAATTGAATGAATAAATTTAATTTGTTCTATTATATTAATTTTTATACTATATATTACATTAAGTATATTCACTCTATTAACTATATTATACTATTATATTAACTGCGGTGACGAAGAATGAGCTTCTCACTATATTTATTCCTCTTTCTAGTTTTTCTTCCAAGTGCGGGATAACCCCAAGGGGTTGTAGGTTTTTTTCTCCCAATAGGAGCTCTACCCTCACCGCCCCCGTGTGGATGGTCTACGGGGTTCATAACTACTCCTCTGACTACAGGACGCTTACCTAGCCATCGTTTAGCTCCAGCTCTACCCAAATTTTTTTGGTTGAACCCAACATTCCCGACTTGTCCTATTGTTGCGGAGCAGTTTTGGGATATAAAACGGACCTCGCCAGAAGGTAATTTTAATGTAGCTGATTTACCCTCTTTTGCAATCAGTTTCGCCATTGCACCCGCTGCTCGAGCTAATTGTCCACCCCTTCCACGTGTAATTTCTAGGTTATGTATAGTCGTGCCTAAGGGGATTTCGGTCAAAGGTAGGGCATTTCCAATTTTGATTGAAACATTTGTACCAGAAACAATGGTATCTCCAATTTGAGCCCCTCTCGGATGTAAAATATACTTCTTCTCACCAGTCTTATAATGTATTAGACAAATGTTTGCATTTCTATTAGGGTCATATTCTATGGTTATGATTCTACCATATAGGTCTTTTTCATTCCGTCGAAAGTCTATTTTACGGTATAGGCGCTTATGACCCCCCCCCCTATGCCTTGCTGTAATGATTCCTCTAGCATTACGACCTTTACCACAATGATGCTTTCCAGAGAGCAAATTTTTTCTTCGAGCAAATTTTGGGCTGTTTACGGTTTCGCTCGGGTTATAAGTTTTGTATAATTGTATTCCCATGATATAAATGATTTTTATTTTGGATTTAAAGTTTATTTGTTTGGAGGTGTAAGCCAATGTCTAATGATCTGCGGTAGCCATTGCATTATATGTCCTCTAATAGGGAGGGCCTACCATTATGTGACCCTTTGCCAGAAGCGTAGCACTACTCAAAGTTTATGACGTGGATTTCAAAAAAAGTCTATTTATTATTTTTTAATAACTAAATTCTTTTTTTTAATATTATATCTTTTATTCCATCCCGAATTTTAATTCATTCCGTATTATTTTAAGTTGAAATAAAAATGTTAATTTTGAGTGTTGATAGAATCTATCTATATCTCTAATATAGAGATAGATTCTCTATATGTATCGGTATCCTAGAATTATCTATTATGATATATGAAATGGAAATAGTCAACATGAAATCTATCTAGGAACATATATCTTCTATGATATTTGATATGGACAAATCTATCTAGGAGCATATATCTTATATGATATTTAATATGGATTATGAAGGAAATGCTCAAAGTAGATCTATGCTAATATATATCCTAAAATATAACAAAAATATCATAAAAAGAAGAATTGGAGGGTCAATGAGATTTTGTGTAAATAACTAATAGTGCTAATAGTGTGCATCCAGTAGGAATTGAACCTACGACTTCGCCAATTATGAGTTGGGCGCTTTAACCACTTAGCTATGGATGCTTAAACGAGACCATCATCTATAAAAATTGAAAATTAAAATATAATAATTATGGTAATTATGAATCTTGGAATTGCAAATAAAAAAAAATGATATTTTATTTTATATGATAGGATATGATAGGAATAGAGAATCTAATATTCAATATCGAATTACAGCAAAAAATATTACATAAAAAAATGTCGTTTAAATAAAGAATTTCGGAAATCTGAAATACTAAACAAAGACTCTATTTATCATTTCTATTTTTACATTAAATAGTCAATAGTCAATTATATAAAACAAGTACTTAAAATTTTTGCATAAAATCTTATGGAGGTATGAGATGGAACCTAAGCAAAACAAGTTCTGGATTCTAGAATTACGAGAGATACTGAGAGAGATTAAAAAATCAAAATATTTTTTAGATTCATGGACCCAATTGAATTCAATCGGATCTTCCATTCATATTTTAGTCTCCCAAGAACGGTTTTTAAAACTGTTTGACCCACAAATTTGGAGTCTTGTACTTTCACCTAATTTGCAGGGTTCAAAAAGCAATCGATCGGTCAAGATTAAGGGAGTTTTACTAGTTTTCGTTGGCGTTGTTATCTTTATTTATCGTATTAGCAATCAAAATATGGTTGAAAGAAAAAATCTCTATTTAAAAAGACTTTTTCCTATACCGATGAATTGCAGTGAATCCATAACTGATCAAGATAGTGGTTATTCTACTCTAAATCGATTGAGTATTTTACTCCTTTCTTTTCCAAAAGGCAAAAATCAAATTGATATTGATTTACTGAATACGAACTATAATACTCGGGTTTTGCCAATAAAAAAAAAACCTAACATGCCTCAATCAAAGTCAGATTCGACGCAGGGGAAAAACTTTATTAGAGAAATTATTAGACGAACTAGAACGGAATTTAGAGAAATTCCAATGAAACTTCTTGGTTTAAATCTGGTATTATTAAAAGATAAAAAATCGCTGGAGTTTCCTTATGATTCCACAAGATCTAGTTCCTTACAAGTAAAAGATTCCGGCCAACCGAAAGGATCCTTGGATAGAAATTTTTTGGATTCCATTAGAAATGAGGATTCCGAATATTCCAAATTAATGAATAAAAGAAAATTTAAACAACGAAAACAAAGATCAACTTCTTGGGATCCTTACTTTCTTAAAACCGAACAAAAAGAGATCAAAGGCCGTAAACCCACGCTAAGCCTTCCGTTTCCGAAAGAAAGGGAACAATCTCGGGGCAATGCCCCGAGGTCCCTTTATTCATTTTACTCTGATAGATGGTCAGAACTTTATATGGGATCAACTCCTATTGCTAAGTCCAATATGGATCCGAAATTTAGGAATAAATCTCTTTCTTTTGTCCGGCAAGCGGAAAAGAAAGAAATAGTTAATCTATTTAGAATACTTACGTATTTAAAAAGGACTGTTTTAATTAAGTCTATTTCTTTGGATCCCGAAATAGAAAATTCGAAGAATACTGGATTTCTTAAAAAAACTCCATTATTTTCTTTTGTTAACCGATTCCTTGAAAGTAAACAAGGAAGCTATGTGCTACAACATAATTGGAAATCAGAAAAAAAATTACAAAAAAGTCCAGGTTTATTTATTCTGACAATAAGCGAGCCGGATCCAGTCTATAATCAGGGATTTACTTTTTTTGTTAATATAGATTCATATGAATTGCATAAAATCAAATTATTGAATAAAATATTCAATACTAGGACTGAATCAAAAAATCAATCTTTGTTGGCTCTTTCGCCTATTTTTTTTCGTTATAAGGAGAATAACTCTTTTTTTCAGCGAACGGGCCAAAACTGCGTATGGATTGAAGCAGTGAATCTATATAGATATAGATTCATTCACAATATGATTCAAATGCAATCTAGTACCTATGTGTACATAAGAAATCTATTAAATAAATTTGTTTTCATAAATATATCCAATCACAATTTCAAATATCGAATTAGGAGAATTCAAGGGGATCAAAAAGAAACGGGTCTTCTCAATCATCTAACTCATATGACATATAAAATAAAACAGGGTCATCCATATAGATCCAAATGGTCAAATGGGGCAAAGAGTTTACAAGAAAATTCAAAACATTTTCTTTATGAGCAGAAAAGACTTTTTGAAATGTATGTTCAAGTCCGAAAGGGCCATTTGCAAATGATGTTTGAGAAAGTTTATAAATTATGTATTTATGTTATTGATAAAATAACTGAGAAATGGATTTATTGGTCTAAGGTTCGCAGGGAAGTAGAAATCAAAGTAAAAAAAAATGTGTATAAGTTAGTTCCTTTAGTTTTTACCAAGTTGTCCAAATCAGTACGTTTCTTCTTTTTTCCCCAGTCACTTCGTTTTTTTTTTACGAAGGGATTTCACTGTATGATCAAGTTGCTTTTCTTTTTGTCTAATTCACTTGGTTTTTCCTGTGTAAGTTTTGGTACTAGTCCTGTTCAGAGGTCCGAAATCTATATCTATCAATTACAAGGACCGAACGGTCAACTTTGTAATCAGTTGTTGGAATCAATAGGGTTTAAAATGATTTATTTAAAAAAATTAAACCCCTTTTTGTTGGAAGAGTCTGGTACGTCGAACTTTGTTATCAATGAAACAAAAAGATCACCCTTTTTGTTTCATAATATAGCAAAAGAGAGGATTGATGCATTGCTTACTAGACCAAAATATTTTGATGAAAAGGCTAATGGGTTTCATCCCATGAACCTATTTGAAAGAAGTTCACTTATATCCGCTTTTTATAAAGCAAATAGACTTCGCTTCTTTAATATTCGCCCTAACTCTAACTTTTGGTTAGATTGTAAGAGAAGATTTCCATTTTCTGTGGAAAGGACTCGGAATACTAATTCGTATTTTCTCTATGAGCAATTTCTAAATAGCTTGTTCCTTGGGAATCAAAAAGTTTCTTTAGGTGGTGGGAAAAAAAGACAGGTTTTTGGGGATAGAGCTACTATTTCACTAATTGATTCCTTATTTAAGGATTTTGCCAAAAATGGTGACCCACGGTATAACTTTGAGAATTTTTTTAATTCTGTAAGGGAATCCGATCCAGTCATGCCTAATTTGATTCTAAATACTTTTGGAACATCTTCTACAGAGGAAGAAATAGTCAATTTGGAAACAACTTATTGTCAACCGTTTTCAGATCTAAATAGAAATCTATATGATTCAGAAGAAAATCACTTTCAAGAATATCCTAATTTTAATTTAAATATGGATATGGATTTGGTTGACATTCCCTGTTCTTATAAATATTTTTCATTTCAAAACAAAAAAAATCGAAAAAAAGGCGCTGTGTTTCAGAAAAGACGGATGGCAACAACTTTTCATAGAGAGAATTTTTTTTCCATTTTATCAGAAAAATTAAATCTTTTCCAAATGAATTTGCCAAACTTCTTTACTTTGACAGGGTACAAATATCTCTATTCTCTATTGATAGATATAGTTTCAATATTAAATAGTAGGATATCTATTTATTGGGAGATTTTGTATTTATTATGGCAAATTTTTAAGATGAAATTGTTGCCCTTTTTTATAACAAGTGAAATCTCAAGTAAGTGGTTACATAACCGTCTTCTAGCTAATGAAAGGTTGCAACGAAATACTAAAACATCAACACATTTTAGATCACCAAGTGGTTGGGCTTTTTTCGTTTCAACGCTTTTCCTTCTTATTGGTGTTGGTTATCTTGTTATTATAAATCTTGTCTTTGTTTCTCGATCTTTGAGGGAGTTAGATATCAAGTTTAAAAGATTAAAACCTTTTCTAATTCCCTCATATCTAATTGAGTTTCAAAAACTTGTAGATAAATATCCTATGTGTGAATCAAATGGGTTTTGGTTAAATAATATATTTATATTTGGCTTTAACCAATTCGTACGTTTGTTAGAAGGAATCCAAGGTTTTGTTTTCGGTCTCAACAAGATTCATCTTACTTTGAAAGTGAAACCAAGACGTTTGACGAAGAAATCTTTCAATATCCTTGAACAGATAACTGGAATTGCTGTTTCTATAAATAGAAATATGCAATATATCAGTTCTATCAGTCCTACA